GCCTTTAAAATAGCAACCATAAGTAAAACCCTCATCCAACTTTGAGTTGATAATACTGAATCAATAAGAAAGGAATGCTTTCAAAATTGATCACTGAACACCTAGGTTATACTCCGGATGGCAGAGACACATGCAACTCGCCGTTGTAACCTCTGCCTCTTCCTCGCAGCCACACTTTGACAAGCACTGTGACCATCTTTCGGGATCATTTACAATACGAGCCCAGGATGCAGAGCGAACATTTGTACAACTGTAAAAATTACGTATCTTATAACTGAAAAAACAGTGAGAGTTCCTGTGCACATTGCTTTGACTACCTATTCACACGTGACCTCAGGACTGAGGAAATATTTCCGCCTCTGTGAATATTCCATTTCTTCCTAATCGCCCTCCACAAACCCCCAGCATCAGCCTGGCGGCCCAGCCCCATGACCAGATGAGTGAATGGAAGTGAACTAAACTGCTCCCTCTTCCCTCTCACGCATGCACTCCTAAGGCTGTCCTCTGGTAACTTCTTTTCTTTAAGGCTGCCTTTGCTTTGATTGTAGAAAAATGCTGGTTGGTCACGCACGTGGCATGCTGAGTGAGTGTGAGTGTGTGTGTGAGTGTGTGTGCACCCAGTGATACATTAGAGAGGCCCCAGGGAGGGACCTGGAAGGTTAGCAAAGGCTTCCCCGTCTGCCTGATGAGACAGGGCCTCTGGCTTTGAGCCCCCACAGGGAGGGAGCTGGTCTTCCCTGCAGTAGGGCCCAGGGCACATGCTGCGGCTGCCTGACCATCCTTGAGGGCCTGCAGGCCCCCTTCAATTGAGAAAAGCAGCGGTTGGAGCCCTGTCTCCCTAGGGGATGGAGGAGCAGGACCAGGGGAACAGCATTTACCAGGATGCAGGAGGCGGTGAGCATCTCTGCAGCCTACAGGACCACACCAGAGCCTGGCCCTGCTTCTAAGGAGCAATCCTGCTCCCCAGGCTCCTCCAGGGGGTCTGCAGTATGTTACTGGAAAGGTGGCACAGATTGAGAACACCTGGGCAGGTGGGTGGATGCCTCACCTCTGACGTGCAGACCTAGGATTGGGATGGAATGGCAGTTACTAGTAAAGAAAGACTGAATTTATGAGCAGATCTGGGAAAAGATGACCACCAGGAAGTGGTCTGCAGGCTCCGATTTCAATAGTCTATTAAATCGTCTCCTGTTTCTAAGAGCCAGAGAAGCCAGTTACCTTTACAAAGTGGGTTTGAGGGCTCTAAAAGCCGTCTCTTCTTAAGAAAAATATATGTACATTTAAAATATTAATAATGTTTAAGATTAAATAAGTTAATTTGATTAATGGTAAAATTAGTCTTTAAATAATAGTATAATATTCCTTTAAAAAATATTATGTTCCACAGTGGAAATTGTATGTGAGTCATGGGAGGGCACTATTTTTTTAAAAAAAAGCCACCCCAAAATGTGCGTATCTGGGAGGAAGAGGAGATCTGCCCATTGATGGATTAGCCTGGATCCTGTGTCACCCAGCAGGGCTCTGGAGAAATGGGACAAGGGAAGAGAATTGGGACAGAGGGTCACGAGGGTTTCCATGGGAACACCAGGGCAGCAGGAAGCCCGACTCCGGAGGAAAGA